CTGAAATATATTTTTAAACTGAAATTCATAAAGTACAAAATGCATAAAAACTTAGAGAAAAATATTGCATTTGTCTCTTTCCTATGTTGCTGCTGACAGCATCGTATTTTGTACTACATACCTTCATTTTCTGCATGCTGAAGTTCTGTCTTCTTGGAACATCAAGAACTGATTTACAGGTCCAACCATAGTGGCACATACCTATATTCAAGAACTCTGGGAGGCGGAGGCAGGAAGATGGGAAGCTTGATCTTAGGCTGATCAGTTTAGCAAAACTTTGTCTAAAAATAAAAAGAACAGGGAGGTTTGGGGTATAGATTAATATAAAGACCTTGCATCCAATAGTCAGGAGAGAGAGAGAGAGAGAGAGAGAGAGAGAGAGAGAGAGAGAGAGAGGGGGAGGGGGAGGGATAGCCTAGCATGTGAGAAGCCCTGAGTTCAGTGAGAGATACAGAGAGAGAGAGAGAGAGAGAGAGAGAAGAGAGAAGAGAGAGGAGGGAGGAGGAGGGAGGGAGGGAGGGAGACAGAGACTCATTTGTCAGTGCCTGCCAAGTTAAAGATGAAGAGCAAGTGGTTAAGTGGTTGCTGAACAGATTACTGCTATTGAAACCAAGAACTTAATCCAGTAGGAAATAGGAAAGATACCTTGACGACCACTCAGTAGCTGCCAGACCCTAGCCATAACCCTCTCCATAGTATAAAAGAGAAAACTCTAAGCAATACAGTAGCTCCTTCATACTTACAAGAACATGTGGTTTGGAAGGCCGGTGTAAGCACCAAACCCTTGACATAAATCGATAGGCCCATTTCTCTCCCCTGCTTCCCTCAGCCTGAGGTACAGTAGAGGTTCTCTATGCACCATGAGAGATTCTCTCTCCTAAAAAATATTCTACTCTGAAAGGAGAGGCTCTGTTACCTATGTAGATCATCTAGGAGGTGATGAAAGAGGAAGTTCTGAAGACAAAGATTGGAGACTCGCACTGTTCGTGATAAGCAGACACAGGTCCAAGCACGCAGCAGTAGACTGGCTGCTGGTGTTGACTGAAAAACTGGGACAGCCATAGCCAGGAGCTCAGGAGAATGAAGGAAATTCTATTAGTGTTCGCAGACCTCAGTGGAGTAATCTCCAGTCTGAGATCCCGATGACAGAGAGCTTATCTTTTTACACGGTGGCGAACAGAAGTGACAACGACCAGATAAGCACTTACCTGAAGGCCAAGGTACCACGGGAATCTTGTGATTAGCACAGTTGCGTGTATCAGAGTTGGTCTCAGCACATCCACACAAGTTTCAGTTTGATGAGTAATATGTTTTAGCTGAATTTAGTGGCAGAGAACAGAGTGACTGCAGCTTTGTTGAACAAAATAGCTGCAGTGAAGTCAGGATTCCTGCTTCATTGGTACTGTTATTGGTAAGAATCATATTCAGGATCTATTCATTCTGATATCATCTCTGGCCCCAAATGCAGAATAAATACATTTCTTCTAGATCAGTTGCTTTATATTTCTCTGTCTCAAGGTGGTTTTGAGATATGTTTACTTTAGTTTTTTTTTTTTTTTTTTTTTTTTTTTTTTTTTTTTTTTTAGTGTGTTTAGTACAGGGTCTCACCACACACACTGGACTCGTAGTGATCCCGTTTTCAGCCTCCCAAGAGCTGGGATCACAGGTGAGCACCACCATGCCCAGTCTCATTTGCCCTCTTAGTGTACCCCAGGGGTGGGACCAGCACAGCACGCTGGGGATCAAACCCCAGTCCCTGCATCCGCTTAAGCAGGTGCTTTAACCCACTGAGCTGTCTGGCCAGCCCTCAAGGTGGTTTTGCTAAATGCTGAAATATTACTTGTGGTTGTTATTGTTATTTGCACTGAGTGTTCCTCAGGAGGTGCCAGAAAGGGTGATGGTGTCTGTCTAGTCGATTGCTGCATACAGACCCAGATACTCTGGAGCTCACTCCCTCATTGCGATGTGGAATGATGTCGTGTGATAAAAGTTATCCAAGTGCCTCCTCGATGCAGAACTTTCACGTGGGTTCATTTGCTCTGACCTGATTTCCTGGGATGCATTTCCAACTTTACACAAGTTTCATTAAGTACTGAGATATTGAAGACTGTATCATCTTCTAAAAGATCATCTTCAGGTGCCTGGAGGCCAAAAATGGCGGGCACAGAGCCCCTTGGAGGCGGTGCCTTGGGACAGGTGGGGGTACACTTCTGGGATGGTCAAACTGACTGTGTCCTCATGAACTGATTCCACAGGATCCACCCACTGTCTTTTTATGTGCATCAGATCCATGATCTTAGTTTTTTATTCTCTCTGAACTTATTGGCCACCTGTTACTAAATACTAATACTCGACTCATTTCTACCACTGTTTCCACACGTGTCAAAGTGCTTCCTCCCTTGGTGCAAACGGAAGCAATCCCTCCCCCGGGGCTCTCAGAGTCCACTTGGCACAGCACAGTGAGCCACACCACTGAGGCTGGAGCTGCGATTCCACATCAAGCTGGTGTTCTGAACAGCCGTGGCTGATCTCTTGGTATAATCAGAGGGATTCCCATGTAATCAGAACTACACAGCTTGAGGCTGTATCTTCTGGGACATTGAAAAATTGTTCTTTGCGATTACAATGCATTGACTTCCCAGCCTTGAGGCGTGAATATAATGACCCTGGGAGCTCGAGGGTAGTAGCAGAATCTATTAGTGTGCACGATGTGGTACTTCCGCTCAGGGGGCAAGGCTCAGGCTTTCTTGCAAATAAGTAGCCTACCTAACACTAGTTCTTAAAGCTCCAGTGAGTACTGATGCACAGACCTCCATGCCTGCTCTGATCGGAAATATCACAATCACTCACCCCTTACGGAAGGGGCCAGCATTGGGAATGAATGTTTTGTTGTTGTTTGTAGCTCAGTAGCCTTCGAGGCAGACATGGTAGAAGTCACCAGGTAAGCTGTGGCAAGATGTGGGTTTCCACATACCACAGTGACTCCAAACTGTTTTTATTAACGTGCTGTGCCTTCCCACTGTCCACAAAACCATAGTTGCAAATACAGATCTACAGGCTTGGGAGATAAGCACCTGCCTGGCAAGCCTAAGGACCTGGGTTCGATCCCCGGTACCTCATGCTGCGCTGGCCACTGAAACTGGGCATGGTGGCACACGCCTCTAATCTCAGTGCTGGGAAGGCTGAGACAGGAGGATCACTACAAGTCCAAGCTGCATAGTGAGAACATGTACCAAATAAATAAATATTTAAAAACAATAACAAAAATTACATATCTACTTCCCCTCTCTTTCCTGGCATGCAACTTGTTCTTGGCAAGTGGCACAGCATCACTGCTGCTTGGAACTCAAGTTGTGCCAGGCTGAGCCCCAGCAGGAGGCCCAGGGCATCACCTTTCCTGTGATTCCCGACACAGCCCAGAAGGGACGATGGGTACCATAGGTTCTTCTTTTTTTCTTTTTGTATTTTAGGGAAGGGTCTACAGGGTGTTCAGGGTCTCACTACTAGATCGGACTCATAGTGATCCGCCTCAGTGATCCACCTGTTTGCAGCCTCCCAAGAGCTGGGATTACAGGTGTGTGCCACCGCACCTAGTCTCAATTGCCATCTCAGCACACCCCCGGGGGGGGGGTGGCACAGCAGGCCCAGGGATCGAACTCCTGGCCCCTGTAGCTGCTTGCAGGCTCTTTAATCCCCTGAGCTATTTGGTCAGCCCAGGTTCTTTTAAATTCTTTTTTCCACATATATGGAGTGGGTGCATCTTGGTGGAGTGGTTACATGTATATAATGCAAGTTCTTTTTTTTTTAATCTATGAACTCTTCCCTCCTGCTTCCTCCCTGGGTCTACAGATGTGTTTGCTTGAATCTGCTAAGAGACTTTGGACATGGGTCATGAACAGGGCTGGAACAAGTATGATGCTGGAAATCTGGAGGGCAGACTGCTATGTCCCTAGAGTCCCTAGTCAGATCCTAACTCTGGGGGTCACAGTGAACCAGTTCCACTCATTCCAAGAGGACAGTTGAGGACATGATATTACGTGAAGATCAGAAAAGAATGGATCCAGGATGTGCAATGTATTCTCAGTGGTGGGGAAAAAAAAGACTTGCACTCGGGGGGTACTGACCACGAGGGTCAGGAGCTTGCACAGCTGGCGATCTGAGGTCACAACCTGAGGACTGTCCCGGCAGGGCCTTCCACGAGAAAGCTGATACCACCTGGCACATGCCTAGTACACCCAGGTTTCATCAGCTGAGGCAGAAGGATCAAAGGAAATATGCTAAAAATGGGTGAAATCGAGGTCCATTTCACCCACCTGTTCAGAATTAAAAATAATATACCTTAGGGGCCAGGGAGATGGCTCAGTAGAATAGCGCTTGCCTGGCAAGAGCAAGGGCCTGAGTTCAATTCCCGGTTCCACCAAAAAACAAAACTAAACTAAACAAAAAGATATGGTACTTTTTTTTTTTTTTCAGTACCAGGGATTGAACTCAGGACCTTGTGCTTTCTCAAGTAAGCACTTATTCTACCAAGCCATCTCCCCAGCCCCGATATGTTACTTTTATACAATGGAGTATTATTCAGCCATAGAATGATGAACTGGAGACTTTTACAGGTAAATGGATGCAACTCAAGACCACACTCATAAGTGAAATAAACCAGATGCACGTGTATAGACATGATATTGTCTCCCTAGTGTGAGAAGGTGAACAACTAAATAAGATCCAAAGTATACAAATGCTATTGTAAAATGGGAAGACACTTCAAAAGGAAAGAGCAACTGAGATGGGGGAATGGAGAAAAGGAAGGGAAAATAAAAAAAGTAGTATGTATATATGAAAGATAGTTAAAATAGTTATACTATTAATTTCTCTTAGTTCATTGAAAAGAAAGATTTGTGTTAATATTGCTTGGACAATTAAATGCTAGTATCTTGTATTCTGAATAACTAAAAATAACAATACGCAATGCATTAACCATTGTTACACTCCTATTATCCCATTTTAAAATTTTTTTTTAATTTATTTTTTCCTCTTAACAGCCAGTTGGCCAGCTGGTTCCAAGGGAGGTCAGCACAAACACTCCTTGGCAAAGCTGGGCAGAAGGCAGCAAGCAAGTGACAAGCACCGACCCTCTGGTGGTCCTTAGATCTTGTCCAGGCTGCCCACCAGGGTGGATGATATGTTGGCAGCTGTTTGGCCTCAATACCCGTGTGTCAAAGTCTTGGTCCTCAGTTCAGCACCATGGAAGACACTGGAAACTCTAAGAGTTGGAGGCTGGTCTTCAGTGCACTAGCAGTGTGCTCTAGACAGAGATCCTGGGCTCAGTCTTTTCATCTTCTTTTCTGCCTTCTGGCCACACTGTGCCACATGCTCCTGCCATTATGCTCTGGCTTCATCGCAAACTTAGGTCGAACACACAGACTGGAACTCTGAAAACTCTGAGACAAAATACACCTTCCCTCTTCATCATGGGATGTGTGAGAAGTACTTGTTCCAGCGTTGCTGAACTCATCAGCTACTCTCAATGTGGAGGCTCACAGACTCTGAACTCCCGTCCTGGAAGAGAATACATTGGTGTTATTTTAAGCTATCACAGCTGGGGATCACAGGCCATAGCAGTGACACCTACTGCTGACCCTAGTTCCCCCTCAAGAAGACTCTGCCTGACTGATGGGGACTCTAGGGAGAAGACAGAGAAAGAAAACCACCATGCTTTGACACAAGCAGCAGGTGAACCCCAAAACATTCTGCTAAAAGTTGTACCCAGTACAAAACCAGAAGAGGAAATAAAGAGCATGGAGATCGAAAGAGACAAACCGACTCACCCCTCACCCACATGTTATCCATCAGGAGCTTGTGCACACAGAGGGTTAGAACAGACACAAGGATTTAGAAAAGTTCTCCACAGAAAACTAGGAAGTGGACAGTCAGAGGTGAGGAAAACCACAGAGCAGGAGGAGAAGGAAGGGAGAGGGTGTAGAGAAGGATGACAACAATTGAGGTAAGCTATACGCACACAGCAATATACCAAAGCCGAACCCATCCTTCTGTATTACATGTGCTAATAAAAAGCACATTAAAGAAGAGTTGGAAGGCCAAGAAAAGTCTGATCTGATTCCTGCCAGAGGACATGCCAGCTATCTGATGCGGCTGTGAAGGGACATAGACAATTTACCATCAAAGAGGAATAAGGCTCCTGGCACCATTTCTAGAGAATTGTGCAAAACTACAGAGTGGATGTCAAAAGGAGCAGAGAGGACACTGACATGAACGAGACACTCACTAAGACTCCAGATGGGTACACGTGACATGATGAGTGTCCTCATGATTCAACTAAAAACCATAGCAATGCCTGTCAACTTTCTTTCGTGTCTGTTTTTTGGGTACTAGGAATCAAACTCAAGATCTTGCGCTTGCCAGGCAGGCACTTACACCACTGAGCTATGTCCCTGGTCCTTGCACATGTAGGACTCTTACGTATAACTTCATGAATTTCTACCTTGCCAGGTGGATGTGATCTTGACCCAGTGACTGGTGAGCTCCCCCTCCCCAAGCAGTATCTGGAACCAGTATGTACGTGGGGTCAAGAGAAAGTATAAATTCTTCCATAAGTGAGATACAACAGTTGCATATTTTCTCTTCTTTTGCAGTACCAGCGATCAAACTCAGGACCTTGCGCTTGCCAGGTAAACACTTATTCCACTGAACTACCTCCCTGGGCTGTAAATTCTTATAGAAATAAAATAAAATAAGTCATACCCAGATTCCTGTATAGATTAAAACCCAACCCACCATTTGCATATCTTCAGCTTTCTTTCTGGTGCCTTGGTTTCCCCAGTCAAGTCTTTGAAAAAACTGAGGCTCCTTCTAGCTCAGGACCTTTGGCTGCCTTCTGGCCATGAGGACAGTCAGATGCCTAAAGCTCAGGCATGTAGCACTCAGGCAGCTAGGAAGGCTACAGCTCCACCCAACCTTGCTCACAGGCCACAGGCAGGCCTGCTCCCGGTGGGGAGTATCCCTGGGCCTGTCCTGTGCTCCAGGCCTGCACTCACCGTGTTCTCTCGCCCATTGGTGTCTCCTGCAAAGACAGAGAAGCTTGAGTTTGGTGGCTGCGGGACATTCTACCCCGAAATCCTCCAGCCTGCAACCATCACATCCTGCTCCGGACCAGGGATGACATGAGGACAATCCTCAAGGAATTTGCTGGGCTGAGCCTGAACACCTCTCTCCCTTTCCACAGTTATCTGGTCCGTGATTTCTGTAAGCTTCCAGGAGGCCTGTGGCTCTTTGCGCCCATGGTACCCCGGGGTCATCTCCACCCTGCCTCCGACTTGCTCTCCCACCAGGCCCTGGCCAGAGGCGACCCGTGCCAAGCCGGGTCTGCCTCTGACACTGAACCTAGGAGATCTGAAGCTCCGTTGACAGAGCTGGCTGTGCCTGGGCTTCCGATGGCCGAGCACTGTGGTCCTTGTAGCTTTGTGTCCTCGGTTCCCTTTAGTTCTTGCCCTAACAGAGGGGACCCTTTCCAATGTGCACATGTACCTGGGAGGAAGGGGCCAGCCCCTCTGTGACTTGGGCCCCACGAGACTTACCTTCAACCACGCTGACACTTGGTCCTATCAAGGGGTGGCTACCACTTTTTCCTGTGCTGTTTGAGAAATAACTTTTACAGCATCTACATTTTTGAAGACAGAAAGCCTGGGGTGTCTTGAATAGCAGCAGCAGCAGCAGCAGCAGCAGGAGCAGCAGCAGCAGCAGCAGCAGGAGCAGCAGATATAGCCAGTTGTTGTTCTCTAAAAAGTGTCAAAACCAGAAAATGCCTCCGTAAGGGCAAGAATTGGTATTTCCTCGCAGCAGTCCTGGGATAAAACAAAGCAGCTCCCCCACTTTCTGAAACCTTATGATATGACAGCCCCGGGGCAGAGGCCCAGAGACCAGGCCAAGCCTGGGTACGGAGGGAGGATGCCTGGCTCCCACCCCCGAGGCTGTGAAGCCTGGCTCCTCCCCAAGGTGGTCTCGAGCCTCACACAGGCTCGAAGTCCTCATAGGGCTGGTGAGGGACCCGTGTACCACCAGCCCCAAGCCACGTCAGTGACCTCTGGGGCAGTCGCCCTTGGAGGCATCCTGTGGCACCGCAGCAAGGCAGATGGGCAGCCCACACCTCAGGTGATCCACACATCCCCGTTATCTCTGTGGTAGAGGTGGAAGTCATGGCGACTGCAGCGGGAGCAGCTCATCTGGGTGCGAGACACAAGCCCACAACAAAAGCCACTTAATTCCCCGGCTCCCAGCACCTCCATTTTCCAGCAAGGATGGAAGACCCCAACTCTCCTTAAGTCTCTGTTGAAACTCTGTTCCACTCAACACTCATGCCCACCCCTCGCCACTCCCTGGCACCCCACCCTACTTTCCTTCTCCATGGATCTAATGACTCTATGGCTCTCGTAGAAGGGTCGCATACAGTGCTGCCCCTCAGTGACTGGCTGATTCTGCTGAACACTTGTCCTCAAGGTTCATTTATCTTGTTATGAGTCATAATTTTCTTCCTCGTTAAGGCTGAACAATACTCCATTGAATACGTAGACGGTGTAGTCCCTTGCTATTTTGTGGTTTGACTTTCATGAACTCACTGCCTTGTGGATTTTCAAAAATTATTAATCTAAATTATTTACAGTGGATTTTTCACTATATCATGGGATTCTGAGGTACAGATAGTATACAGTACTGTATAAATATTTATATGTGTAGTATTTGTGGTTTTAATGATTTTTGCTTAATAGAAATTTAAAATATATAAAAAGTGTTAATTCTAACATAATGAAAGAATATTAAATCAAAATAAAATACACTTTACAGTATGTATTTCTTTAGCAGATAAATACTGTACACATAGTATACACCTGTTGTTAAAGTGATGTAGGTTTACGAGTTTAGAAAATGGTTAAGAACATTAGAAGAGTTTTTTAAAAGTGTGGGAAAGATTTATAAGAGGGTGAGAAGAGTTTATAAAGCCTTAAAATATATATAAATATAAATGTAAATATGTCGCCACTTCAGGGATTTTCACTTATCACGGAGGTATCTGGAACGTAACCTCCACGATAAGGGACCACTGACCGCCTTCAGTGGGCCACTGTGCCACCTTCAGTTTGCCCAGTCATCCAGCTATGGCCACTTTGGTGGCTTTCACCCTTTGACTGCTATAAATACTGTGGACACAGTAGGTAAACATTTCAGAAGTGTGACGGCTACGATTAACTTAATTTTAGGTTAACGCTATTTTTAATGTCCTAAGGAGAGAACACCCGTACTGTTTTCCACAGTAGCTGCACTGTTGTGCATCCCACCAGGAGTGCGTGTGCCTCCGGCTTCTCTAAGTCACCAGCACTCAGGATTTTCTGTGTTTTGAACAGTTGCTATTCTGAAAGGGATGAAGTGGAACCTCACTGTGGTTTTGACCGAAGGGCCAGTGACACTGAGCGTCTTTTCATTGCTTGTTGGAGAAAAGCCTGTGAAGGTCTTGCCCCCATCTTTCTAATTGGGCTTGGTTTTGTATTACTGTTGTTGAGGGAGGAAGTTCATCTCATACTATGGCTCTGGATCCTTTATTAGATTTGTAACTTGCAAATATTTTCTTCCCGCCAACCTGACCTTTCATTCTCTGCACATTTTGATGCATAGAAGATTTTAAGATGCCTATAATCGTGTTTGTCTGTTTTTCCTTCTTGGTCTATGCTCTTGTTGTCATATCAGCAATCAGTGCCAAATCCAATGTCATGAAAGTGTTCCCCTCCGTCTTAAGAGTGTACAGGTTTATGACTTGCTTTTAGGTCTTTATTCCTTCTTGAGTGAACTTTTGTATATGTTGTGAAATAAGGGTCCCCATTCGTTCTTTTGCGTGTGACTATCCAGTTCTCTGGAATCATTTGCTGAAAAGATTGTCCTGTTCCCCCTGAACAATCTGGGCTCAAAGGTCTATGTACTTTAGAGATTGTTTAAAATAAACATAATGCATGCAAAAAAAGAAGATGGATTAAAGTGCCTGTAAGCAGGTGCAGGGGCCGGGGTTTGATCCCTGGGCCCGCTACACTGGCCCTGCCCCTGGGGCGCACTGAGACTGCTATTGAGACTGGGCGTAGTGGTGCACGCCTGTAATCCCAGCTCTTGGGAGGCTGTGAACAGGAGAATCACTATGAGTCCGATCTAGTAGTGAGATCCTGAACACCCTGTAGACCCTTCCCTAAAATTAAAAAAAAAAAAAAAAAAGTAGTGTGTGTTTGATTATTCAGCCATAATAAGGAAAGAAGTACTGACTCACACTGCAACCTGGATGAACCTCAAAAACATGATGCTCTGTGAATGCAGCCAACTCGAAAAGGTCTAAAAAGGCCTGATGCCATTGACATATAGGCCCAGAATAGGCCCATCCATTGAGATAGAAAGTGGATGCGTAGCTACCAGAGGCTGAGGGGTGTGTGCATTGTGGATGGCCTGGGCGACTTTCCTTGAAGCCACAATCAGGTCATCCTTGAGGCATCTGTTAGCCCATGGAATACCCTTGTGTTTGGAATTCCCAAAATGACCGGGCAAGTAGAGATTAATACCAGACTTAGAACAATAAACGCTTGCATGCTGCTGATGGGGGCACTATAATTGGATCTGCTAGTGTCACCACAGTACTGTGACACTGGCCTATGGATGTTACTGATCTCAAAGACTGCCATAAATTCAAAGCAAAGAAAGGGGAAGTGTGGAGGAACACCTGGGCGACTCTCCCTGAAGGTGGACAGCTGTCTCCATTTGGGCTGTGCCTGACCCTATTTCATGTATTGATACGTACAGAGCTGGCTAGGACTTTTCCTCACCCCTTCAATTGGCTTTAAGCAACGCATTTTGGGCCAACAGAGGTGCTGGTGTGTAGTGTTTGAAGATGACAGGCAGTGTTTCCCTGGACCCTGTTAATTCTCATGTGTGAGCCTGGACAGGTGGGATGAAAAGCCAGCCCTACACTGTCAGTTGGAAACAGAGAGTCTCTAGATAAGAGGCTATTAAAAAAAAAAAAAAAAAAAAAAAAAAAAAAAAAAAAAAGAGAGAGAGACACTATGATCTTCCTGGGCCTGAAAGATTACACATCTGAATGTGTAATGGTAGCTGAAGCACCAACCCTAAAACACTAGATACTATCTCCGCTGTGCTATGCAGATCACTCCTTCTGCATATTCCAAAGCTGACTTCCTGCCTCCTACCAGCCCCGCTCAAGGCAATCAAGTACTTCCTGCCACTCTCACAGCCACTCATCCCTCTCTCTTCTTTGTGAATAAAATCTGAGTCTGGTCCTGGGTCAAGGCCTTTGGTTCTAGTTAACCATCATCTTATCACACTCAGGATCCCCTTTGTTCCCCACCGTTTTGGATATATTATTTTGTCTTAATTGACACCATGGGTTGCACTGGGAGTGGTAGATTGGAATCTACTCAATGGGATTTCAATGACTAATCCATGAGATTAGAAGTATAAAGTTCCTGGATCACAAGGAGAACTGGGAGCACTCTATATGCTATCATAGCTGAAGGAGGACGGAGACTTCATTTTGGGGAGATGGGCATGTTTTGGAACTAGAAGGAGGTGCTGATATTCAGTGACCCTAATGTATTACTTTTAAATGATAGATTTTAGGAGGGTAATACAAGGGGGAAAATTATCACACTATGTTAAATATAGGTACAAATCTATAAATACGAAACCTACTAATCTGTGTAACCAACAGGTACTCGCACAAAGAGTATAAAAAAAAGGTTAATTTCATCTCATGCAAATTTTCCTCAATAAAAATCAGCCATGTTAAAACAAACAAGCAAACAACAACCACAAAAAACCCTTCTTACCTGGAGGAGGCGCCCCGCAGACCACGTTTGCCGTGGCATTGCATGGCTGCAGGACTTGTTCCTCAGTACACCTAGAGAGAGACACCCTCAGTTCCATTCTTCTAGAGCTTGTCCCTGTCATTACCAGCAAAGGATGGCCCTGCCCTCTCTTGCTGCCTGCCCAACTCCCTCTTGAGGGCACCGTGCTGTGCACTAAGAGACAGCTGAAGCCCCTCCCAGCTGTTCCCGACCTGGCCAGCATCCCCAGAAGGCACTGGCGTGATCCTCTCTAATGCCCTAAGTGGACCAATTTTCCTCTTCTGTGAATATGGACTGCCTCATTGGTGCCCTAACGCATAGAAGCAAAAATGAACTTGTCTTTATTTCACCAGAGCCTCAGGACTCCCGGGTTCCATCCTAGTCCCTGAATACTGCAGGGCTGTTGCTTCTGCTTGTGCACCTTAGTACAAGCGAGGCCTGGATGAAGCGGGGGTCTGTCACCCGCTGACCGGCCCTGCACAATCCAGATGCATTCAATTGCGTGCATTTCACAGCACAGTGAAAGTCATGCAATTATCTAAAACTCATGCTGGACATTCGTCCCTTGCTCTTCTTCCTTCCTTTGCTATCCCTTGCTTATACTCTGGGTACTCCAATTCTTCTGGGAATGAATGAAACTTCTTCTTAGATCATTAACTCCAGATTCCAAGCAGAAAACACTGGAATAATCTCCAAGACAAGCACCCTTCATGGAACCTGAATGCTTGCCCAGGCTGTCACTTTGCTTTCTTTTGACAGAAACCAGCCTTGGAAATGTTGGCAGGTGAGCCCTGGTCCCCTGGGCTACCACAAGGCCTACAGCACAGCATTCTTGGAGTG